CTTACCAAGACATGGTCACCTAGTTAAACTGGAAGCCTGGGTTCAATGGGCAATAATCGGAGATTAATAGAAACAATTAAGAGGTGCATTGGAGCAGCTGCAGTGATCTACTGCTCAGGTTGAATATCTCTTGATCGGACAACTGTAAACAAATTTATGCTTTATGAAGGAGCGAAAATGTGAGATCTCCTGATAGGAAGAAACCAAATGATTTTTGCCTACATAAAAACGTTAAAAAAAGTTTACAAATCTTCAATTTTCATCAAAACATCTCGACTGAGGACTGCAGGGGGTTGTTTGCCTTCTAAGAGATCAACAACCAGCATTTTAATTTATTAAAATAGCCTAGTCCACATCTAGCAACTAAGAACAATTATGGTAAGAATGAAAAAAAAATTTATTTCCATCTGATTCAATCTGACTTTGCTATATTGCAAGGAAGAAAAGCCAATTATTTCTGTCTAGATGTGCGCAGCCACGGAGTTGTAATATGACAAAATAAAAAGGTTCTTAGAATGTGAATTCTCTAGCAGGTATTGTTCATCGCATTGTGATTGTTTCAAAACACCTCTCAGCCTATGATAAAGCTGTTAACTGTTTTACAGCGGACACACTCCAGTGACTGTAACAGGAACTAACCTGGACATCATTCAGACTCCACTCATCAGAGCCAAATACAACAGCCACGAGACGCTCAACGTAAGTTATTGCTCCAATCAGACCTGAAAGATGTCTGTCCTTCTTTAAAAAAAAACATGTGTGGTGTTTGGCTGTGCACAAAGAATCTTTTAAGAATTAATTTTTCTTAAGTCACTTTTTATTCTTTAAAGCTACAAATATAACAATACATGGTCAGCGATGTCTTGTAAGAAGTACATTTTGATTAGTTTCCCCCCAAAAGCTTTTCATTAAATAATTCCTTTAAACAGGGAAAAAATATATACTTGTAAAAATGCTGAAGTAGCTGTAATCTCTAATTTTCTCACGGAAAGATGGTGAAAGTCATATAAGGGGTTGTTTGATCTCACTGAAAGGAGAAGGAAACAAAAGGTGGTAACGCTATCCATCTTCATGGTCCGTTTGAGCATGACTTTGCAGTGCGTTTAGCATCTGTGCTCCCACTCGCATGAGCTGAGCATTGTGTCTCAAGGTAACTCTGTCGCCATCTAGTTTGTTTCACATCTTCCTGCTGCAGCATGAAATCAAGATGGGTATAAATGAGAAGGGAAAGTAAAATGAAATGGACTTCTAAAGCCTTCTTAGTGACGTTTCTCCAAAAACGGGAGTGTTGCTTCTCTTTCCTCATCCATCTCCTTGTACCTGACATATAGCATTGCGTTATACATGTCAGTGATGTCCTGAAGACCTTGCCGGATTTGTCAAGCCTGATGTTCAAGGAGCCAATTACAGTGACAGGGAATAGTTTGAATGACTGGATGGCAGAGGTTACTGTGGAGATGTGAGATGTCTGTGAGAGAGACCTGTTCTGCAGGTTGATTTGTCAGCGTCCTGACAGGCAGAGAGGAATGGAAACATAAGCAGGATATAGAGGTGCATGGGGCATTACAGCGAAAGATCAATCTGTCATTGCTGGTAAAACTCATTTTAGATTTAGAATAAGGAGCAACTCTTTGAAATAGTTTCATATATCACATGAGTGACCACAGCAGCAATATAGGTAGCAGGACAGAACAAGTGACAGAAATTTAGAATTGGCTAATTGATGTTGGTACATAGAAAGAAGAGATTGTGCCAAAGAGGGAAAAGGAACGATCACAAGGAGTTACAACAGTTTAAGAGAAAGTGAAGGGGTCTTTGTGGAGGGTAATGAAGGTAAAGTAAGACCCAATTATCACTCCTGAACCTCTACACATCACTGTCTGCTTGTGATGAGACTGCACTCTGTGTCTACCTGTACCATATTTTATTGCTCCCTTTGAAATGTGACTCCCAACAGGTTCTATATAAGACTTTAAAATCTGACTTATCCGTAGAATTTAATGTCGGAAATGAAGGACTGAGGATGAATCAACCCTACTGTACATGACTTACTGATAGGAGATCCAAAATATTTTCCTGGGAAAAGGAAGAACAGTGGAAAAGCCTTTGTAGCAAATTAAAACAGAGGTCAGTCAGAGGCAGACTTAGAATTAAAGGGATGTTTGCAGTAACTATTTGTAAGGTAACATTTTAATCTGCCCAGTTGGGGCAGCATGATATTGGAAAAATCATGTCATAATGATAAGAACTGTGATCATCATCATAATTTACCAAAATTCGCCCTTTTTCATCTGTAGCCTTTTTGTGTTGGCACTCTGTGCCCTTTCCCACTTAGCCACTGTAATTTGCCAGCTGTGGTCTTCTGCTGCTGTGAGACCAGAGATCCAGTATGTTGAACATCTGATTGGCCTTGAGAGTGTGAACTCATGATATTTAAAATCTACACACAATTTATTGAATTCCACTTATTTAAAATTAAATAGAAAATAGTTGATTTTATTCTTGCTGTATAGCTACTGTGCCATTCTATTCGCCACAGCTTTATGATCAAATTGCATTTGACGTAACTGTTAATTACCAATAATTCATGTTAACATAGCAAATATAAAGTATCTATTAATTCAAAATGTTTTCCCATCATAACAATGCCTAACAAGTCCAAAAAAATTGCCTCAGATGAGGGCATTATATTTCTCTTTGGATTTACACTATCATAAGAAATAAATCAATGAACAAAATGAACTGAACATTTGATGTTTCAGTTGTGTTCCCCTTGGGTCAAAATAAATCCCCTAAGCATATTAAACTTACAATACTTAAGTGTATTAGGAACTTGGCCAAAATGTATTTTAATAATTTTGATACTTAAACGCTGCTATTTTCAAAACATATACATATACAAAGAGTAAACTGTTTTAATTGTAAACATATTTCCAAGGGATCAACGATTAATATTTCTGCTACTCTGTGTTTATAAAATGTTTTTGTTCTTCCTTAATAGAAAATAGAAAAAAAAAATAGTCATGTCTAAAGCTTGTCGACTCAACAAAGGGGTCACATTGAGTCATCCATGTTTATGTACAAGGAATCAGTGAGTTTTTCTTTTTTTTAAGCATTTCTCAGTTGAAAGTAGTAGATTTTGATAGAAACAGAGAGTAGTTTGAAAAGTGAGCTATGAACTGGGAATCCTGGAATAATTGCTCTATTTCTTTGTCCTCTAGCTATGTGAGGTGCTGAGCTCCACGTCCATGCTGTGCCAGGTCCCAGAACTGCCCATAAGCTTGGCCAGACACCAAGAAGCACCAGAAAAGCCTGATGAATTTGGCTTTAAACTGGATGATGTGCAGTCCCTGATGGCCCTCAACAGCACCAACTTCATCTACTACCCTAATCCTGAATTTGAGCCACTGAGTACCTCTGGAGTCCTAGACCTTAAACCTGGATCACCCATCATACTGAAAGTAAGATGATCAACATCTCACATTCACATTTTCCTGTAATTCCTGATAGATTGATGTAAAGTCAATATGTTATGTGTTGCAAATGCTGCTCACATAAAAATCTTTTAATGACTGCGTGTTTGTTCTGTGAATTGGCCGAGTTTTACAGTGTGCACATTTCAGTTTTTCTGATGAGGAATAAAGCATAAACTGTCTTTGCAGGGACGGAACTTCCTTCCACCAACTAATAGTGGGAATGGAAAATTAAATTACACAGTTCTGATTGGAGATAAACCCTGTATGGTTACGGTGTCAGAGACTCAGCTTCTATGTGAATCACCCAACCTGACTGGTCGCCATAAAGTCCTGGTGAGTGGTACTGTAACACAGCACAAACTAATATGTAAGCTGTGCTCAAGAGAAACAGTCTTACAAATCAATTGAAAGATTTAGAGACAGACTTTCCTTGTTTTGCCTTCATCCCTCTGTCTGCTCTCATACAGAATGTGGCTCTATTCTAATTAGCCACGTGGTTCCTGTTGTTAACCACAAGCAGACAAAGACAAACAAATCCAATCGTAATACGAAGAATTACAGCCAAAGAAAACTCAATGGATTCCATTAAGGGTTTTCAAGACAAACCATTTTGAGCAAAACATTTTAGATATTATGACCTGAACTCACATCTAGGAAAGATAACGCATTACAGTAAAATCTACAGAGGTCTGTAGACACTTCAATCTATAAGTTTGTCTGAATTTTGGTTTCGATCAATGGAAATTGTTTTTAGACTTCTAAGAAAGAGTATTTGGTGGAATCTTTTAAATGTTTTGGGTTCAGCATGATTTTTGATAATTATCTATCTCAATTTTATTGTAAAAGTGATATTTAAGAGCATTTTCCACACAGTTTTGAAAGTAGTTTTCAAGTCTGGATCACTATAAAATGAAATTTCTATTAGTTGACTGAAATATCTGTGAAAAGGTCTAGAAATTTCTACTAATCAGTTTATCTCAGTTATACGTTTGTCACTGCTTCCTGCTGCACAATGAGTACCATCAGTTTCTTCCTCTATTCATTTAACTAAACCATTAAGTTGCTCCCTCCATTCAATGAATGCGGAAATAGTTTGTCCCTCTTTTTGTCTTACTAACTTACCAGCAAACCATGAGTATGCCCATTCAGCCAGTCAGTCAAACGTTAGTTTATCCATCCAATGCAGTCAATGCAGACACTAGTTTGTCCACCTCTCCATCCAACCAACCACTACTTTGACCATTTGTCAGTTCCAGCCTTATGTCCTGTTAGAATATTTCCCATAATTTCCATATGAAACTGCAGATCTTATATTCAAAGCTGGATATAAAAAAAAATAATCTGAAAATATCACTAGTGATACTGAGGTTTGGCTTTGAGAATGTCCTGAAAGTCTTTATGTATCATTTTAACTGTGCCTCTTTTGTGTTTCTCTGTGATAAGGCACGTGTTGGCGGTATCGAATTCTCCCCAGGTGTGGTCCACATCACGTCCGACAGCCCACTCAGCAGCACAGCGATCATCGGCATCGGTGCAGCTGGTGGTTTGCTCCTTCTTTTTATTGTCGTGGTTCTAATCGCCTATAAGCGGAAGTCTCGTGAAAGCGACCTGACTCTGAAGAGACTTCAGATGCAAATGGACAACCTTGAGTCACGTGTGGCATTAGAGTGCAAAGAGGGTAAAGCTTTGCCATATATTATTATAATATATTATTGACAACATTGCAATCTTTGAAGAACCTTGTGTAATAAAGGGTACATTTATTTTTTCAGCTTTTGCAGAGCTTCAGACAGACATTCATGAGCTAACCAGTGATCTAGATGGTGCCGGAATCCCCTTTCTAGACTACAGGACCTACACCATGAGGGTGCTTTTCCCAGGCATTGAGGAACATCCTGTACTGAGAGATCTGGAGGTAGGCAAGAAGACTTCACAGAGATTCTTTGCAGTGATGCTATTTGGTGAAATCTCAAAAGATCCTATTGGCAGAAAAAGGAAAAACTTTGTTTTTACTTAATCTTTAACATAATCTATGTCCTTGCCACAGTGCAAAAATTCTTATGATTCTTTTTCTCCAGTCTTTATCAAACACCAGTTGTAATCCAATTAGCCCTTTGGAAATGAGATCAGAACGAACAAACAAATTAACAATGTGGCGGGTCACAGTAGGTGAAATTAACGCAGATGTTGGCTGTTGTTGCTATCTAGTAAACAAAAGCCCTTTGATAGTTGGCAAAAGAGTAATTTCAAAGCAAACGTGCCTGACTTCAATTCAAAACTGTGAAATCATTAATAATTAAAAATGACATGAGATGGTAGATGAGTTTTTTTTCTTCCTTTCCCTAAAAACAAATTAAAACTCAATCATCAGGAGAAATTCAAAACGGGAAAAAAGCACATAGTCATTAATCCTAAAGGGTGACATTGATAGACAACCATAATTGAACAAGCCATCTTGTTCTATTTAAAGAATGATGGGCCCCTATTTCACTCCCTTCAGAGGTTAACTATCCTGTCTCTGATGAGAATTTCCCACTAATAAGCCATACTAATTATGTTTTAATTGGTATAAATATCAAACTATATGAAGAGTATCATGTGGAAGAGTGCGTGATCGAAAAACTAGTTGGCTTATCCTTGGTTGTTGATGGCCACCTAATTGTTATTGATGCATCGAATAATTTAAAGTCGAGTGATGGTTTGCAGTAGAAAGAATCCCACAGCTGCTGAAAGTTTTTTGAGGTTACCTAAGCATAGACAAATTCTTTGTACTTAAATATTTATGAAGGTTTTAATATTTTATGTGCTGCATTTAAAGCGAGGGGTTTATCTTCAAGTCAAATAATTGCAGTACTTTTTTCTAAAATATTAATGCTCCATGATTTGTTTTTGTGGATTTTGTCATTTTACAGCAAAACACTTAAGTATTATTTATTTGGTTTCATGTAACTTAAAGTAAAAATAATGGCTCTGAAAACTGTTAACAGATTATTTAATTTATCCTTTCAAATATTGGATTTTTCATATATTATATTATATCTATATTTTACAGTTCTTTCTTCCATGATTGTAGAGATTAGTAAAAAAAAAAAAAAAAGAGAGAGATTAGTTAAAAGAATGATATAATGTTAAGCTGGAACTAGAAGCCTAAAAGTGTATTTTTTTAAATGAAAACCTGCATTCACGCTGCATGCACAAACGACTGATACTCAAACACATGCAAACGCAGAAACACATTCTGACAAGCTGCATAAAATTAGACTTTCAACTCAACAATAGCTCCCGGCAGATTACAACCACCTCAAGGAAAGGTTGAAAGACGGAACATATGTGGGCTGACAGCTGCATTGGTTGCAAAGCAATGCTGTCTTACCCGGAGTGCTACTGACAGATAAAAAAACCTAATCTCCTAAGGTGCTGTTTAAGAAAAAAAATGGGGGAAAGACGCACATTCTGCAAGTTACAACTATAAACAGTGCTGGGATGGTGTGGGCTCAGATGAGAAGAATTCACAGCACTGCACTCCCTTCCAACTCGTATTAATATGGAACACGGTGCCATTGCAATAATAAACACTCCCCACTGAGGCTTGGTGTTCCCTGGCTTTTATTCTTAACCTTCAGATGAAACCTGACAAAAGACTGAAAATGTTAGACTCCTCGTATCCCTAGGTTCCTCCTTTTTTCTTTTCATTCAATTATTCCCCATTTTCACCTTTATTTCTAAGAACTATTGTGTTCATTGCTCTTTGATGATTAGGTAAGAAACTGTACATTTGCACATTTGTCCGATAGAAACTAAAGTTTTTATGTGATCCTGCTTTTTCCAAACATCTTTAAGGGATCACTATATTATATTAATAAATTGGTATAAGCATTGTTTAACTCTGAAGACAGAAAGCTAATAATACATTCAAATGGGTCTGTGACTAATTAGGGTTTATGTATCACTGACTTGAATATCCCACTTTGAATTCGTACCTTTTGCCAGCAATTTCTTATTCTTTTCATTTCTCTTGTTTCCTCCCAGGTGCCAGGCTACCGCCAGGAGCAGGTTGAGAAGGGACTGAAGCTCTTTGGCCAGCTCATTAACAACAAAATATTCCTGCTGTGTTTTATTCGCACTCTGGAGGCCCAGCGTGGCTTCTCCATGAGAGACCGTGGCAACGTTGCCTCACTGATCATGACCGTGCTGCAGAGCAAGCTGGAGTACGCCACTGATGTCCTGAAGCACCTGCTGTCTGACCTCATAGACCGCAACCTTGAAAGCAAAAATCACCCTAAATTGCTGCTTCGCAGGTAATTAGTGTGCCGTAAGAGAGAGGACTTTGTAGGAAGCACTTTTTCACAGGTGGCCTCATCCCCACAGCTGAAAGACATTTATGACTTTGTTTGATGAATCTCTTGCTTTTTGAGCAGCTTGCTGATGTTAAAATTGACTAGTCCCAAGCATTAACCCTACATAAACAGTAGTTATTAAGAATAGCGTCCATTAAAGAAATGGGCCTTCATCCAACACCTTAAAGTCACATAGGTTTCACAGCACACCAACACAAGACTTGTGTTCAAATAATTCAAACAGATGTAAAAGCCTCAGCCTAACATCTACCAACATGTTTTTAGGTAGCTGTGAATTTCACCATAACTTAAGGACATAGATTTTGAAGCCATTGCTCTTTTCTCATAACGTCTCAGTCCATGATTGAGGGACACTTGCTGCTCTGTGGACATTGAGCATGTTCCTTGATGGTTGCTGGGTTGCTCATATAAGTGAGTTAATTTTAATTAAGGGTGAAAATTTGGGCCAAAGAGAACCATGTGCACATTAGTCTTGGAAAAATTTGGTTTGGATGCACCTACTTTGAGACTTAACCAGAAAGCTGTGATGTCTATTTACATCCAATGTCTACATTATAACAGGAATAATATAATAATGTATCACCATACCTGCAGTTAAACAGGGTGATGGCATCAACATGTTCTGGAGTTTCTTTCCTTCCTGCAGTTTGTTGTTTGTTTTTCTATAATATTAGTCAGTCCTAACCGCAGATCTACTGCTGTCTGCTGCAAAGCAAGGGAGGAAGAGTGCTCTTATATTTTAGGCATCACAGTGACTCCAAGTATACATCTAAGGATTGGTTTTACCAGAAGAGTGCATATGAACCTCTGATTTGTTTTTTGGGGGGGCTGTTCTTGGTGAGGGATAGAGGCCTACATTGATGATGCGAGCTCTCAGTACTGAAAAGCTGCATATGCTTCTCAGTGTTCCCTCTCTGTGACATGTTTGGATTAACTCCTGTGACCTTGAATCACTGGCTCAGAGTCAGAAACACCAGAGCGCATTGCTGTGCACATCATTAGCAAAATAATTATAATTAATTAGCAGCGAATCCAATTTCAAATTGCTTATTAGGGAAGAAAAACTCATTCATAAAAAAGAAAAAAAAAAAAGATTAGAAATGCCTGGCTCTCTGAGACAATCACAATCCTCCCTTGGATTTGTAGTCAAAGCCTGAATGGCATGCACTTGAACACAGCACAGTATGTGATTATGCTTCCCTGCCTGCAGTGAGTGGTAAATATCATGATTACGGTTATGAGAGTGAACCAGCTCCTTTAAGGTTGTTGTGTATGTGGTTTGTGCAGACGGCTGCATACATATATGCACACCGTATTTTTTTTTCCTTCTCACAGGCTGTCAGTCCAGCCTTGACAACAAAAAAATGATTTGACAGGCATGATACAAATTAAGTTGTCTGTTATATTTCAATTCAAATTCAGAATCTCCCTCTGGCTGAAAACACTTTCCACCAATAAATAGAAGCACATAAACACAACGTCGCAAATATGGCTGAAATGTATGCTACTCACTATGCTGTCCAAGTGACAGGGGCATGTTGTTCTTGTTTAAATATGGCCAGAAACTGGTTGGTATTGCGGCATGAGTTTAAAGCCATATTACTGTGCTCTGTAAGATTATTTCAAAAGCTTCACTTTACACTTTTGGCCAACGGTTTGAATGCAGAATTATAAACATACAAAGAAGTGACTGATGAAAATAGATTTCTACGATGACTATTAAATATTTTGGTACGTCCTGCTTAAACCTGCCTTTCTCTGATCTCCTCCGGCTTTAGCTGTATGGCATATGTACATTTTCTTTTGCTATTGAACCGAAGCTTTCTTAACACCTGTTGAACAATAGTCTGGTATCCCTGTGTGGTTCTGGCATTATTGTGATGTTGGGAGGGTTATGTTGCCCATGGATAAGGAATCTGGTCAGGGTACTTGGAGGCTGGAAACCTCTCAGAACACCTGTAGATGCTGTAACTGTATAATTTTATAGCATTTATCACTTTCCCTCCATAATTATGTCAGTTTATCGCGTAAACCTCTAATGAAATATTCTGTTTTTGCCTGGAAGAGTAAATAACTTTAACATCTACAGGAAGGAATTATTTGGCAAAGCTCTGTTATTGCGCTCTGATTTCACCAAGTTTAGTGCAGTCTTTAAAAAGTGAAGCAATCTTGGCAGTAGATCGAACATAGGAGGCATGGCATAAAGAGCTCAAACAGCGAGGCGGTCAAGGACAGTAGAGACACTTCGAGCTTTGTTAGATACTGAAGAGGCATGGAGACAAGCTGTGAAGTCAGCCCTTTGATGGTTTTTTTTTTTTTTTTTCCATGAGCCACAAGGCTTGTTTGTGCTATTTCTGAACATCTATTTCTGCATATTGGATGGAAATTAAGACCGATCAACAACAGGCAGAATCAGAATGCAAAGCACATTCCTCCTCTTTGATGACAGCAGAGGGGCAGAAAACCTGGGGAAAATATCAGTGCAGGCTGCATGCACATAAGGGAAAACACATGTTCACGTCACACCCACATTCAGGTTGATTTCCCAATTGTCTTACATACTGTATGATGACAATGTCCAATGATCAGATTGTAGCATCCCATTATTCCCCCTCGAGTTGCTGCTTAGTCTTTCCCCAACCCAGCATAGATTTAATATATGATCCCACCCTGTAGTCTTTACTGACTGGTATGTCCTTGGTTAGTAGATAAAAATAGTCAGAATACATACAGAGAACTGGAACCTCAAAATGGAAAGAATTCCCTCCCCTTGTTTACATTTTTCCTTAACTGCTCCATCTCTGTGCTCTCTTCCATTTTTGTGTTACCATCCTTTATTTTCTACATGTCTGCTATAGTAGTTCTCAACCTTTTACATATATACTGTCAGTCATAACTTTCTATACTTACTCTCTCAATCCATATTCCCTTCTCTTACCTCCCATTCCTTGTTTTCTTAATTGCTAAATCAATGCTTAAAGTGCTTGAGCTCTGGCACGGCATGTGAGCACAGCTACCCAATACCTCTAAGAAATCTGTGTGTGCGTTTCTTTCTTCTCTCCACACACAAGCTCACATCCTTCCATCTGGCCCATCTCAACCTGTGCTGAAGCACAACCACCAGGCAAGCTAACTAACGAGAGCCTTCCTCAACCATCTGTCGCTTTGCTGTCTGCATTCTACTCCTTTAACTTCTTTCTAAGCTTCATCTTTCCGTCTTGCTCTTTCTGTCACTGAACATCGTGAGCTAAACATCCTCCCGTCCATCTTTAGCTTTATTTGGCTGCTGTTAAGGCATCAAAATATTAGTGCTAACTATGTTCAAGAGGACCCAATATGCTTATGTGTTAATCAAAGCATTTTCTTCCAGCTCAGAGACCCAATCAGCATGCAGGTGGACAGGCCTCGCTGTAGGTCCATATGGATAATGTTTGTTTATTGGAAATTATTTTGGTCCTAATTTTTTAGTGTGGGCAATGAAAAGATGTCTGAGCATGTGCATCAGCAAGAGAGTGATAACAGCAGGGCCTCACTGGGAGACATTATGGCACAGGATGACTTGCAGTACCCTCTTTACCAAGGCAAAGCCAGAGGGAGAAAGTGAAATAGTCAGCTTTGCAGCTGAGACAAGGCCAGGAAAGGATCTTGTTTTAAACTTTTTCCCGCTTGATTTTAATGTTTACAGGATGCATGAGTTTGTCACCATTGAAGCAAGGTTGAAAAAATGTGAAAAAACCCAATATTAAGTATCTGTCACTAAGCTTTAAAGGTATTTTAGTGGGATAAAGAGAAAACATAAATTGCCACACACTTCCCTTGAGCTTTAAGGGGGACATTACACTTTTCCCTTCTTTACATTTCAGAAAAATAAAGTTAGAAAATGAACAGCTGGTTAGTGCTTCATACTTATTACCTTATTATCTTATTGCCGTTCTACAACCACAGCTGGGAAAACTGCAAACAGCTGATTGTCTGCTGGCCACCCTATTGATAAACCACTGAGTTGCAAAAGCCTTTGAAGGGCACCGCTAAAAAAGTGATCAATATTATTTTAGATTTAATATTAATACAAAAATTGTATAGTCATATTTTTGTAGCCCATCTTTGTCGATTAGACACCAGAAAATCAACAACATCTGATTATAATACATCTTTAACCCCTTGGTGGTCTGCACAATTAAAGTTTGTCTAATTTTCATTTAGGTTTTACTAGTATAAAAGTAGTTTATAGGTATATTAAATGAAGGTAACCTAAAATAAAATACATTAGTTAAGATTTTTTCTCATTATGGATTATTAAACTTTTAGGACTTTGAATGTATGCTAAAGGGACAGGGAATCACAAAATATACTGCAAATGTTTGCATCAAAACAACAAATGAAATTAAACAATGAAGCAGAAACACAACCTCCAAGGACCCTGAGGTTCTGCGATTTTCCTACCAGAAAGATGACAACCTCTTTAATAAGGGATATTTAAATACTCCCATCGCTCCTCAGTTCAAGATCTTTCCAAGCTTCCACTGGTCCTCTGATTTACTGCCAAGTGGGCAAAGCCTGACCATGCCAGACATGGGACATTTCAAAGGATTAACCCAAACATAGGTTGTTGTGTTTGGATTATTAGCTGAGGAGAGGTTGGGATTAGATTGTTTTAAAAGGTGTAATACCAAACATGCACGTTAGATGTTAAACAGATCCATCACAGGGCTGTTTTTATAACGTCTCCCACCAGAGAGTGCTGTGAGTGAGAATGAGCATAAACGAAACGGTGGGATTGTGCCAAGACTTTTTATTACTGCTGGGCTGGCACCCGCTGCCATTCACACAGACACACACAAGCGTGATAGAAAGTAGTCTGCACACGGGTAATTTTTGGATACATACGCAGAGGGATTAATTTGTGCTTTTTGCACACTAGCCTTGAAGCTGCCGCACACTTGTCTGGGCACAAAGGCCCAACAGAAAACACACAATGTCTATTGGAAGTGACTAAATAAAAGGAAGTTTTCAAAAAAACGAATTGTGAGGGTTAGATTCAGCCAAGCTATTTGTTCCTTATTCTTTTCTTTCTTCCGTTTACTGCTCCTTACTTCCTTCCTTCCCTCCTCTTTTTCTCCCATGCCTCTTTCATCCCTGACAGGCTACATTTGTGAAAATGGAGAGGATTTGGAAGTGTGCGCGATTACACGATCCAGAATAGGGCAGCCAATTGGAAAGAGAGAGGGCGGGGGGGATCGAGGAAGTCAGCAAGGACACATGAAAGAAAAGATGAAAAGTGACCTTTTTGACCCTTGGATCCGTGGACGGAGGAAAGGGCGGGACAGGAAAAAATAAAAGTGGAGGCACAGTGAGAGGCAGGAAGTTAATCCCCTCCAGGTGTTGTGCCAGCACTGGTGGGGGGGTACCAGACTACCCCACTGGCACATGCTGCTCCCCCTTGTGCTGCAGTGTGCAGGCCTTTTTTAAGAGGCAGCCTAAATGGTGAAGGGAGGGAGGGCTGCAGGTGGCAGCCGACTCACCAAGGACAAAAACTGCACACACAAATGGGCACAATGGACACTAATCCTGAAATATTGATGTCTATGATAGTCTCTTATTTTAAACAGAGGCAGGGGTGTGTGTTTATTATTACCCACACACTCCCGCTGCTAACCAAGAGGGTTGCTGTCAAAGGATATCCGATCCTAGCCTCTCCTTTTCCCCTCCTGCCACCACCGCTGTTATTATGCATGCTTATTATTCATTCACACGAGATCACTCACACTGTTGGCCAGGTCGACATGCATACACACAGACTATTTTACCACACCAGTGGAGCATAGATGCCAGGCCAAGAAGGAGAGGCAGATGCATTCATTCACTTTCTATTGTGGCTGGATCGAGTGTTAGTCCAGTGAATAGGCAAGGGAGAGCTTGATAATGAGGCTAGTGTTATTACAGAGCCACTGCGGGCCCCTAACAACATCAATCCACCGGGATCAAATAAAGGCTTTTAATTGCATATTAAAATCCCCGCTGCTTGCACATGAGCTGCCCTTGGCGTGCCTGAGCATAAATGGCAGTCAAAAGATTGTTTGAAAGTTCATCATATAGTGAGTGCATTCGCTCCCTCAGTTCATGTCTTTACAAATATATTTGTCAAGCAGAAGCCTGTTTGTTAAATTTCTTAAAAATGATGAATGATATTGTTAAGAGTGCAGGAAATAAACCTCAACATGTGCTTTGTGTTTATTTGTAGGACGGAGTCTGTTGCCGAGAAAATGCTGACCAACTGGTTTACATTCCTGCTCTACAAATTTCTAAAGGTACAGTAACTTTTATTTCTTTAACCTTCAAAATGTGGAGCTATACTTTTTTATTTTCTCTCTCCAGAATACATATAAAATAACATACCAAAATTCACATTGTGTTCATACCCTTTGAATTTTGTCTTGGTACAGTCAAAAACCTGAGAGTATTTCACTGCGTCTTATTTTAATAGACCAACATAGTCGAGTGTAAAATTAACCTTTTTTATTTTA